TTGTATTACAAACCAAGACATATCAACATATTAATTATTCTTCTCGAATTATTTTTAGGTGCAATATGTAGCTCTGAGAAACATCAATTTGATTGTGCAAAAGCGACCCGCTTGCTGCCAGCAGTTTAACCGAAAGGACTCGAGATTAGTGGGACATTTAGTGGCAGATACTTTAAATATAATTAATTTTATACATATCTGGAGATTGTAAAAAGAAAAAGATTTTCACTCATTTCGTACGTTTATTTCAGAAATAGTAAAATATATATGGACATGACATTCACAAAGCGAGCAATACAAGGAATGTCTGGATTTGCAGTTAAATTCAATAAAAATAGTTTTGGGCTACTTCCAAATCAATCCTGTGAAGCGTCTTTGCCCGTTAATACTACTGGTCCTGTATGCATCATTCATAACTTCATTCAGACTTTCCATAATCCTTTCTGGCTGAACTTTTACCCTCGGTCGACGAAGTTTCTGTTGCAGTTGGCGAATCCTTTTTTTGTTGTCCGTGGTTGAACTTGGACTGGTTTCAGGTGACGAAATGTTGGATTGAGGTCGAGGACTAGATACTGATGACGATGGGGAGCAAGGCGACTCGAAGCTTCCACTAATTTCTGGCTGCGACACGTCCAACGACGGCGGTGACACGGCAATTGATGTTACTTCTTTTGGTAAAATAGGGATGAATTTAATACTGGGACTAGGTCGGATAATTTCACTGGGTGTAGAAACTGTTAATAATTGCTCCTGCGACACAAAAAATCTTGATGGAAGGGCGGATGGTTTTAGTCTTCTTAGAATTGTTAAACTGATCATCCTTAAAATGTAGGTCGCAAATCATGGAGACGGGGGGAACATTTTGACAATCGAGATCCAAATACTCACACCACTTCTTGAATCTAAGCGATAGAAAATATTGCAACTTAATATTCTTTATTAGAATGCCAAAATTATTTTCCATTTAATTTATTAACACGCCTGACCTGTCTGGCTGGGATGGAAATTGATAAAACTGAGCTTCCGGATTTTTATGTTTTGTTTTAGCACACCTTGGATATTTACAACAGGTTATTTTCAGTGTCCTTGGTGGTGGTGACCCCCACGGCTGGGTCACTTCATTTGAAGGCAGGGACACGTGGAGGCTGGAAAATATTAACCCAATGTATTTAATGTCTTAATTCAAAAAAAAATTGCTCAAGTAATGTTTACAGTACGTGTGCATGTGTATTATATAATTGAATGTGCAAATAGATATGTGTACTTACCATGTACTGCCGAGGGGTACACTGTTTAATTGCAAGTAACTTTTTTAAATAATTAATTGAAGAAATTTAAGCTGGCTAAAAATCGATCGGACTGGAACTGTATTTTTCTTTGCCACGCAAAGGAAACCATGTGGTGGTGATTGAATTGCATCAGCTTTTTCTCATGCTGAAACTGCACACAGTTATTTGGCCGATCTGTTAAAGCCGCCCATTTGCAGGAAGAACAAAATAATATTAAGCTCCGCTGGTTGGCTGCTCAGCTCTTCCATAAGCTTCACTCAAATACATTGCATGAGTCGTTCCTCTTCCCCTACTTTATTTCATATTCCATGGCTTTCCAACCGTACTAAATTTGGTTAAGCAAAATCTAATGGGTGTTGGTAAATACTCATACCAGAATAAAACACAAAAATTTGTTGCAAAAGTTTAAGCCCGTTCCATATTAAAAATTATTTCATCACGAAAGGGGGGTGACATACAGATTTAACAATAATTTACATTCATCCTAGTCCCCCTACATGTAAAAAAAGCTAAAAGATGGGAAAGAATCGGGAGTTGACCTTTGCTGTAAAAACACGTTGTAAATTTCCACGAGCGAGACCTGGGACCCATAAAAATTAGTGATATTACCAAATTTAACACAAATTTGATCAAAACAATTATTAGGAAATACAAAATATATCTACTGTACAAAAGTAATCCTAAATCGGGACAGCCAACTCTCAAATCTAAGCAAATTGGATGATAAATTGTTTCAAATGTAATCCCAAATCGTGAGATGTCACTCCAAAGTGTGACCTCCGACATCAAGGGGCATTGTGAGATACAAATTAGCACATGAAATGTGAAGAGGAGACTCCATGAACAAAATCTCAAGCGTTGATGAGCCGGAAAAAAATATATGTGTCTATGCCAAGCCTAAGCCGAAGACTCATACGGGTAAATGGACACTCTGGATGGACCACCAAAAAATGGACCATGGAATCATGGATGCAAAAAATTAAAATTGGTATTTTAGTAAATAAAGTCGTGTAATACGTTTGGAGGAGACCCGAACAATGTCTAGGAAAGGAATTTCTTGTACGCAAGGGAAAATAGTTCCTTTTTCTAGATCAAGACATTCAAGCGTTCTTATTGACGCATATGAGTCTTCGGCTTAGGCTTGGCATAGACACATATATTTTTTTTCGGCTCATCAACGCTTGAAATTTTGTTCATGGAGTCTCCTCTTCACATTTCATGTGCTAATTTGTATCTCACAATGCCCCTTGATGTCGGAGGTCACACTTTGGAGTGACATCTCACGATTTGGGATTACATTTGAAACAATTTATCATCCAATTTGCTTAGATTTGAGAGTTGGCTGTCCCGATTTAGGATTACTTTTGTACAGTAGATATATTTTGTATTTCCTAATAATTGTTTTGATCAAATTTGTGTTAAATTTGGTAATATCACTAATTTTTATGGGTCCCAGGTCTCGCTCGTGGAAATTTACAACGTGTTTTTACAGCAAAGGTCAACTCCCGATTCTTTCCCATCTTTTAGCTTTTTTTACATGTAGGGGGACTAGGATGAATGTAAATTATTGTTAAATCTGTATGTCACCCCCCTTTCGTGATGAAATAATTTTTAATATGGAACGGGCTTAAACTTTTGCAACAAATTTTTGTGTGTTTTTTTCTGCTATGAGTATTTACCAACACCCATTAGATTTTGCTTAATCAAATTTAGTACCGTTGGAAAGCCAGTTAAATTCTGTACAGAATAAACCTAAACCCGATCGCTGAATAAAATCTACTGATAAGCTTGAGCCAGCGGGGCGCGCAGCATACGAGTGGGTTTAAACTTATGCACTGGTGCTGTAAATATAAGTATAAAATTAATATAACTGTAAATAATCTGGTAATAAACATTACCGAAGAACACAAGTATATGACTCTACCGAAGTGGTAATGATAAGTTGGACCCTGTGGTAATAGCTTGGTAATAAAGTTTTACCATCATGGTAACGAATTTTTACCTGGTAAAATATTGCTACCAAGTTTATTACCGAGGAATCATTGCCTGCGTGACTTTGCTGGATTATTAAGAGTGCACCAATGCTCCGTGCTACTTAACCACTACACAGAAGCAGGCCACCACCCAACTGTATAAACAGGGAGCACCGCACAATGTCCTGGGAGACCCAAAATCCTGCCAAAATTATTTTAAGGCCCAAAATCCTCCCATGGGGGTCGGAGACCATAAAAATGTGGTTCATTTTGATTTTCGAAAGTGGGTGTGGTCAGGAAGGGGGCTTTTATGGAATTTTCAAAAAGTCGCAAATCGCCCCTAAAACCACACCCACTTTGTTCAGAATTTAACGCTGATGAAAATGAGGTATCATACATGCCCCTAGCTCTTACCATTGTCTCGCAAAAAAATAAAATGTAGAGGAAGATCGGTGTTTTTGTCAAAAATCGTCAAAATGGCCAAGTTTGAAGGGCTCTCAAATCCTTGAAACTGAATTTGCGCAGGAAATTATTTCGGAATTTTGAAGTACTATCATAGGACTAACTTAGGTCATGACCTTAGTCAGATCTGAGACGGAGGTTTTTGGCAAATTGAGGTCAAAGTTGATGAAAATAGCGTCGAAACGACATCGTCGGGATTTTGTAAGTTTTTTGTGATTTTTGGGGGAAAAATTTTTTATTGTTGATTTGCACGAATCATGACCTCTAGGTCACGAAAAACAGGTTTTTGGGGCAAGTTGAGATTTTTGGGGCAAAGTGAGACAAATCTCAACTTGCCCCAAAAACCTGTTTTTCGTGACCTAGAGGTCATGATTCGTGCAAATCAACAATAAAAAATTTTTCCCCCAAAAATCACAAAAAACTTACAAAATCCCGACGATGTCGTTTCGACGCTATTTTCATCAACTTTGAGCTCAATTTGCAAAAAACCTCCGTCTCAGATCCGACCGAGGCGGTGACCTAAGTTAGTCCTATGGGTGTACTTCAAAATTCCGAAATAATTTCCTGCGCAAATTCAGTTTCAAGGATTTGAGAGCCCTTCAAACTTGGCCATTTTGACGATTTTTGACAAAAACACCGATCTTCCGCTACATTTAATTTTTTGCGAGACAATGGTAAGAGCTAGGGGCATGTATGATACCTCATTTTCATCAGCGTTAAATTCTGAACAAAGTGGGTGTGGTTTTAGGGGTGATTTGCGACTTTTTGAAAATTCCATAAAAACTCCCCTCCTGACCACACCCACTTTCGAAAATCAAAATGAACCACATTTTTATGGTCTCCGACCCCCATGGGAGGATTTTGGGCCTTAAAATAATTTTGGCAGGATTTTGGGTCTCCCAGGACATTGTGCACCGGAAATCTTGGAGAATTTCAATGTTTGCTCGTTCAATAAAATATTGCAAGATCTATTCGTCTGATTTATCCTAAAATTAAAGTGAAGGTAAGTAATCTCAGCATGTAATCTCAGCATGTGTAAGAAACCCTAATAGTCGTTCATCATCAGTGTTTTACATACTTATGGTTGAATGATATGAACGACTGTATAAATATGTATAGTTTGCGTGTTCTGCGTAAATTCTTAATTTGTGCTAAATGCATACGGCTGACTAATGACTTTAAGCCATTATTTATTTAGTACTTATTTAGTTCATACAATACAAATATCGACGGACGGAAATAAACGTTTTAAGCGATCAAAGTAAATAAAAACATATTTAAGTAAATTCAACCAGCAAAAACTTTATTTCCTTTAGCTTCCAAATTAATTTTTAAACTTTAACAGGTCACCGATATCGCCTTCTTTATTATATTTAATGATTGCAGCGTACATTTGGCTCACATTAAGTTTATCATCCTGTTTCCACTTAATAATCGTAATGTCTGTTCGTACAGTTTCAAATTCATTGACAGATTTTCCTTTCAAACATTCTCCATAGTGTTGGGAAAAATAATGTTTCTGGTCATTTTTAACATATAGTTTTGTTAGTTTTGAATTCCGTTTTGAAGTAAGTTTAGTTTTGTCATTTTCAAATTGATTATTCGGCCTGGGAATTTTGCAACCACAAGATCCATAGAAGTCTAGGCCCTTCCCTAATCGTACTTGGAAGAGGGTGGGAGTTCCAGACACGCTTGTAAGAATACTTGACAAAAAGGATGACTTAATTAGTAATTAGCCAATATTATGTAACTATTTGCATCACAAATATATGTAAAATACGAAATATGTATGTATGTCAACCAGTTTCCAATTTCTGAATTTTTAACGAAACAATCAACTTTTCAACATTGGTCGGTATATGGAAATTATAAAATACGAGAGGAAAAATATCAAGAAAGTCCACTTTTTTATCTTTCCGCAAAATACCAAAGAAATATTCGGAAAATATATATATTTTCCAAAATTCTAATAATTTATACATGAACTAGTTGGTAAAAAAATACTTACAAGATTGTCTCAAAATTATTTTACCAGTATTCTGATACATGTTAGTTTTATACAGTTAGAAAATTTCTATGATTTGCAGGTTAAATCGTAATTACAAATAAATGAATTTGACAGATTTGCTAGTGAAGCGTACGTATTTGTATTAAATAAAAGTCACAAATTTGTTAATATTTTGCGTCTACATATGTGTCTCTACTTATCGAGACAAATTATCTAACATTCGCACAACATATGTACTTAATGGCTTCCCCTCGTATTAGTGTAAAATTCGAAAATTTGAAATGTAAAATTCTAGGATTTATTAATCAAGTTTCTACATACATATGTACATATTAATGATTGTTTTCGTACCTGATTGATCTATCGTGAAAGCTTCTTTGGTTTTTACAGTCAAATTTAGTATTCTTTCCAAGTTTTGCCTCCTGGAAAATATTCGCGTACACATCTTTAGGTAACTTGGCATTTTTTGTGTAATCCGTCTCATCCATTTTGGCAATGTGGGAAGTTTTAAAAATTAAGAAAATTTCTAAAACTTTTTCGCTAGATTTCCTTGAGCACTTGGTTCCAATAAATTCCAGCAGAAGGAGTAAATAGTGTTGCTGTAAGAAAGAATTAATGGACAAATTCAACGCATTAAAATATGCGAGTTGTCTGGCAATAAATATTAATTTTTGTGTACATCACTAAAAAGTTTTAATTTAGCTATTCATGAAAGTTGTCATTTACGATTGGAAATCAACTATAAATCCATAGTATCGAAATTATGTATTGCCCAACCAGTGGACCAATACACGCGTGTAGGTATGTACATATATATACATACACACATGTATTTATACATATGTATGTACATGTGTACGTATATATACATTATTCTAAATTGTAAATTTGCATGCTCTCACAAACTATGTACAGGCATACCTGAGCGTCGGTCAGTATATAGGGATCCATAATATTAATTTTGATCACCTCCGGACTGAAACAAATTCCAAGAACATCATCCAACGTATTTAATTGATGAGAATTGTCTATTAAAATAGATTTCGCTTGAGCTCGCGTACACGTAAACATTGTGAACCACGATGAAGTGAAATTTGAGGAACACTACTCGCTGTTATGGAACTTTTAAGCCAGTAGGTGTCTCATATCTATCACATCGCAGGTATCAACTTATCTGTGCTTATCAATTTAATCACTTTGTTATATACACTACATATTAGGTAACGTACCTATACCTTGTAGGCTATTAAAGCTTGTGCTCCTTTAAAATGACGATCCCACTAGTTTTACTCACAATGCACATGTCAGACATGTTTCTCACAGATCTTCCTCAAACTAGCACTAAAATATCCATAAACTAAGCACAAACAACAATTGATATGATACTTGAGCACTTCTGCAGAATTCGCGAAGTTGCGAAGGTTTTAAGTTGGCAAAAACGCACATTTTCACCATGCGAAACTATATGGGGTTCACCACTCCGCTTCCCGATTTTCTCTTGCGCTTCTCTCCACCAGGTCATCAGTTTTCACCTCTCGATGCATAATTTAAGCAGCGGCTAACTTCTCAACCAAATTACCATTCGAATTATTATTTTTTTATTTTTAATCATTTTTAACCATTTTTGATTTTTGAAATGGATTCCATTAACTTCTTATCAGTGGCAAAATCATTTCAAACACTGGTTGAAAACAGTTTTGAGTGGGCAGATGAAAACTTAAGCAACTAATTCTTAACCAAATTATTATTTGTAGTTCTTTAACATTTCGTGTTTTTATTTGTATATTAAGGTTCCTATGTGTGATAAGGGCCAACATCACACAAATTCATGTGATTTTTGTCATAAAAGTCTTTGAAACAATATGAGTTTTGACACCAGCTACATTTTATAAAAAAGAGGCCTTCACAAGAAGGTAACACGCACTGTATACCAGAATATGTAAAGCAGACTGATTTTACATTAGCGAATGTTGGCTTCTCATCCCCGATCCATAGCCCACTTGAATACCAAGAATACTTTATCATCGGTATAAATGATGGTGCACTTAAAAGAAAGTGAGCAAGTGCGATCAACTTTAAAATTCCGTTTCGGCTAAATAGTTTAGCTTGAACTTCATTCTTGTGGCATAGCGCATTGTAGTGATAAAATTGTTTCGATAAGTATTTTAATTTTCGGTGAAAATAGGTGTCCAATGGCTGAGCAACATCAGTACAATTCTCTGGAACGAATTTCACTGTGAGTGCCGGCCATCCATCATCGGGATTAAATTTCGACTCATACATTTGAAGGTTTGTCTGTCCAGTCCAGTGGTCCAAAATGTATAGTACATCACCAATGATATTGGGTTGTATAATTTCGTCCAGAAATGTAGCAACTAAAGGCCTGCTTAATTTGCCGGACTTGCTAGCGGTGACAAACAGGTTTGGAGCAGAAAACAGTGTCTTCTTGACTACTGGTCCAATGGTGCCACTTGCCTCCTAGAGACAAGTTAGGGATTTTGAAACATTCGGTGTGAAAATTTAATCAGTTAAATTTACCTGTAAGCATACAAATACTTTTGGTAGAATTGTTCCTGCGTAGGTAATAGTATACTGTACTGTATACGAGTGGGTCACCTTATTCTTTGGGGATATCGCCGAACCGAACGTTGACCTCTCGCCTTTCCAAGACAACGTCCTATTCGTGTTCCAAACTAACGTCGGGTCATGAACAGAAATTAGTGGTTGCATTTCATTCCTGAACTCTTCAGCCATGAGACCTATTTGTTCCATATCACGAATGGAAGACCTGTTCACTAGTTTTTAGATTCTTCTTGAAGAAATCCGGTTTCTACTTCTAAATCGAGCAATCCAACTATCTGACGCCTTCAATTTGAAACCTGGATATTCATTAGCCTTCGATACTGCCCAGCGCCGCAGATCCATAGTGTGGACCGATCGGAATTCTTGGCGAGCCTCGCGAAAGAGTTGTAGGACATGATGCTCAATTTCCATATAAATATCGAAGTTTGTTCCGCCTTAAACAAAATATCCTAGGTAAATCAATTGAAAAAAGTTACGAAATAAAAAAACTCATCTCAAAGTTTACCCATGCGTATTTGACTTTTCCATCTTTGCAAATAATTACGATGTTTGACCTTCTTAAATTTGTTCTGGAATGTTAAGAATTTCCACGCCGGATTGCTTTCAAATGCATTTATGGCTCTTTTCTTGTATTCCATATCCACTTTGTCTCGTTTAATTGGCTCTCCTTCTTCATCCTCGTAGTCATTTAGCGCAGATATACTATGCACCCCTTAAATACGATGTCAGATTAACTTCAACTCTTGAAATTTATTAACCCAAGCTTTACTACCTTCGAAATGTTCTTCCTCTTCAACAAAAATGTATTCGATGAGCAGCTCATCAAGCTTTTTTAGAAGAACTTCTGCAATTTGTTTTTCCTCCTCGGTTGGAACCTGATCTGCCCACTCAAAACTATTTTCAACCAGTGTTTGAAATGATTTTGCCACTGATAAGAAGTTAATGGAATCCATTTCAAAAATCAAAAATGGTTAAAAATGATTAAAAATTTAAAAAAATGATAATTCGAATGGTAATTTGGTTGAGAAGTTAGCCGCTGCTTAAATTATGCATCGAGAGGTGAAAACTGATGACCTGGTGGAGAGAAGCGCAAGAGAAAATCGGGAAGCGGAGTGGTGAACCCCATATAGTTTCGCATGGTGAAAATGTGCGTTTTTGCCAACTTAAAACCTTCGCAACTTCGCGAATTCTGCAGAAGTGCTCAAGCATCATATCAATTGTTGTTTGTGCTTAGTTTCTGGATATTTTAGTGCTAGTTTGAGGAAGATCTGTGAGAAACATGTCTGACATGTGCATTGTCAGTCACATGATGCATGTTCAACCCCCGCTCATTGTCAGATGTACCTAGTATAAGTTGCTGAAACGTTTATCTGTAAAATCAAACAAACGAAATAGAGTAAAGTACAAATGGCGTTGTACAATTTATACTATACAATTTCGTCATACATGTGCAATATTCATTGGCAAATAATTCAGCCTGGCAGAAAATCCTCGTGGTATACTCGGCCTGTTGTTCTTCATATAAAGTATGTACTAGTAATGGTAATTCACAAAATTCTGACATACGGGTTAAAACTCTTGTAAAATCTCAAATTTTACAGTTTCTGTGTCCAAAGCGGCGTGATTTCAAATTCAAATTTATTTTTCAATCAAGGACAAGCCAAATTCTTAAAATCGACGAAAATGTGTAATGGCCATTTACTAAAAAGGCATTTATTGCGAATTTCTTGCAGTTCTTACGTTTCTTGCTTAGCAAGAAGTACAGCAAACTGGCTAGAAACGAAACGTTGGCAGTATTTTATTTACAACCTGTGTAATTTACTATGCAATGCTACCCATCCGTTGAAAAACATTTCATTCCAACTTATCTAATTCATTTTTTGTTTGGGCATGTCACGCTCGATTCAAATTTATGCATTCGTATATATGTATTTACTCGCAAAACGGACAGCTATGTGTGTTAGAATGATATTTATCAGTACAAACGTTGTTGGCAACAACTTGTTGAGTATGAATATTTATTCATGACTTATCCATATTCCAAAAACCCAAAGTATGACCATCCCAACAAAAATTTATGTATATTGAGATAACCTCTTAATCATCATATCTCAATTGCGTCGCCCAATGCATACGTGTCCGAGCAGATTGCATATATTAATTTATCAGTGTACCGTCGCACATAAAATATACGACGCCAATTTTTAGGTTGCTTGGCAACAAGATTTTTTTTCATAAAAAGTATATTATATCTCAAGCCAAAGATATAATATACTTTTTATGACCAAGTCTTCGCCCAAAATGCCATCCACTAAGGAGTGGAAAAATAGCTTCTTAGCGAAACAGGGCGATTCATACTTTGTCAGTCTTCCAAATGACGCACGAGCTGACACAATAATCATAATTTTGAATCATATGTCGAGCTGTGACGTTTTCATAAGAAAATTGGAGTACCGAGTAGCTGAGTTTGGGGATGAATGGGTATGCAAACAGTTTTGGTTCGAAGGGTTTGAACATTTTGAAATTAAAAAAAAATAATAGTTTGACCGCATGCGTTTTTTAGGAGGACGAATTTGAAAAAATGATCGATTACATCAAGGAAACTCCGGAATTGGCTAAACAATTGAAATGCGTTAATATCAAACTTGGGAAAAACTGTGATCGGGATCAAGATACGTCGTACATGCACCACTCGATCCTAAAAGTTCTGAAAAAGTCCATCATCACTGGCGAGGCCTATGCCAATAAAGATTACAAACAAAATGAGTAAGTTCCTAAAAAACTGATAAATAAGACAGTCTTTGATAATTCGAAAAATCGTTGCGTTTGTAAAATAATTTTATAAAATTTTGCAAAATTAAATGAATCCGTTAATCTGAGCAAGTTTACAAACATTTATAAGATGTTTTTCCTTCATAATATTTTTAAAATTTTGTAAGTTTTCGGATTTTACAATATTACCAAGGATCGTGTGAATAATTTTGAGAAAATTCCTCATTTCTAAAATGCAATTTCTAACAGGATCCGCCTCGTCATTTCGGAACGTAACTGTCCCAACTTTCTCCAATGGCTGCGTTCGTATTTAATCGAATACAACGTCCGACGCTTGGATGAAGCAACGCAACAAAAATTTGCAGAAATCCTAAAAATTATTGAAGTTCAATCACACTCCAAAAATCCGTCGAGCTTGTTCGACATATTGAACAACAAAAAACCTGTGTCAAAATTCGTCCATCACAATCACGGATAACGATAGGGGGGGGCTAGCAAAAATTTTTGTGGCAATCTTCCGCACTGCTTGGAGAATCGTGGAGGAGGTAATTTACGACGGACATATTTTCTAAAGCCGGGCGACTTGTGACACATGCTCGTTCCATTTGTTTAAATTTGTGAATTACTGCAAATGCTCGTAATTAATGGAGGGCCGTGTCATGGGGGAGACGCGTCGAAAAGTCAGGTCGTGCGAAATCCACTCATGACACGGGCCTCCATTAATTCGGAGCATTTGCAGCAATTCACAAACTTAACAAAATGGAACAAGCATGTCACGGGTCGTCCGGCATTTCGAAAATATGTCCTTCGTGAATTCCCTCCTCCTAGATTCTCCAATCAGTGCGAGGGATTCAACGAAGACGTTTTCTAGCGCTCCCCGATTCAGAATTAATAGGGTCTCCCAAGTTTGTAAAAAAGATCTGAAAAAGCGAAAAGCTAAAAAATCTGAAATCCGCTTTTTTCGCTCAATACTTGACTGTCCCGATTTTTTATCGCTTGAATATTCAGGAGCAGAGAATGGGTGGTCAGGAAACTTTCGAGTTTCTTTTAAAATTTAAATTTGCTTCATGTTGGATATGATAAAACAACTATCTAAGATCATGTAAATCCAAAAATTACCAAAATGGGATGAAAATAGGATTTTTGGCAAAGGTTTGAATGCGGTAGTTTTAGTGGTTGCAATGCTTTTCAGGGGGTGTGGCGGGCGCAGGTGGGGCAATGGAATAAAATCCTCCCTCACTTTTCATACACTCACCTGATATTGTAATATATTCCATAGGGCATCAAAATTGGGTGATGTCCCCTTAAACATGTCTCTGAGAGACTGATTTTTCACTCAAAGTAGTAAAAAGAGCGAAAAAATCATCTTAAAGTAGATTTTATTTCTGAGCAGAAGAAGCGGAAAAAAGATCGGAATCGCATGCGCAGTGCGGTTTACAAAAAGAGCGAAAAAATCGTGAGCGGAAAAAGCGATTTTTTTTACAAAGTTGGGACACCCTAATATTACGTAAAATAAGTCATGCTAAAAAATCTTCAAAATTCAATGTTTTTGAAAAACTCTCTTCGTCTCAACGTTTCCTGTAAAAAATTGTATTTATCATTCCGTAAAAGACTAATTCTTTGTTGTTCTGAATACTCAAACTTCAAAGTTCACCTTCATTACAGATCTCTCTTCATCTAAATGTGTGCAAATTAATCTCCAATTACATATCTTTACAAAATTCCTGTTTTTCATATTGTTATGTATTTGCCTCACTTAAAATAAATAATTAATAATAACATTGTATACAATATTAAAAGTATTATACAAGAAATTTTGTATAAAATTTTAATAATAAGTAAGTAACATTTTTAATATTATATGCAATATTATTATTAATTATTTATTTTTATTACTCACTTAAATTGATCACTTCTACTCAAACTGTATTTACTTATGTTTCAATAAATGCATGGATTAAATTCCCCAAGTCTTGTTCAAATCAAAATAACAAAGCAAAAGCACTCCTTTAAGTGAGTGTTATCAACAAAAGATATGCATTAATTATCATTAACTACATATGTAACAATTCGTCAGTGTCAAAGTAAATAGTGAATTACATACGTATGCAAATACGCTAATTTGCATGGTGAACTAACTTCACATCCACTTACAAGAAGTTGCTCCACGGAAATGTATTTCCATATGTAAATATATATGTGTGTATATAGTTTTAGTTGAAAGAGGGTCTGCATACTTGCAATAATTGGTTTTCCGGGTGCCAGTATCGGTAGTTTTGGCCGCATTTATTTATATACATACTAGCAGAGCTGGATGTTATTATTTTGTTAACTATATCATATTTATTTATTTTTTATGTCCTATCATGGTTACTTAAGTAATTATGTTATATGTACATATGTATAATGTCACGCAGTTGGGAGGCAAGTGGTCATGGGTAATGAATAATGATAATGGAAAAAATGGAAATGGAACGAACGCTAATAGATTTTTTAAGGATAATGAAAATCTAAACTTTCATAACTTGTGTCTTTGCCATTTAGGATTATTATTAATACAAATGCTAGTTCAAGCCAAAGGCCAGGCAAAGCAAATACTTAATACGATACCACATGAAATAAATACATTTTTATATGACTTGTTTTACTGAAACTTACATCATTATACAAGTTGAAAATAAACTAGATTAATATGGTCTGCTTAACCAATTGTCTCAAATTCTAATATGTTCCATGTCCCCAATGTTACCTAAGCAATATTGATTTTAGAACTTGTCTCGGACCCAAGACACAGCAATTCATGAATACTTTGTCAATATCTTGCTGAACGTAAGGAGACATACGTACATAAACAATTAAGTTTGGTACGAACCAAATTTTCGAAATGTGGCAGGTGTTAAGAAGATACGTAGATCAGTTTCGAAGCCCAAATCCACTCCCATACTGCGTTTCCGTTGGTCGGGAAGAATTAAGATACTTATCATTATCCAAGAAGCAATGGATCTTTGTCTACGTTTCATTTGCCGTATTTGTGCTGCACACGATTTATTGCTTTCTACGTGTCGTCTGGTTATGGAAAACGGAACTTTGGCGACACAATCAAGACCAGGAGTTGGAAATAATTCGGACTTACATCCTCCTGTTTTTAACATTCCTTCCTCTTTCTTTCGTCTCGATGAACTTTGTTTTGTCTATGCGACCAAGTATACCTCCAGATATTTGCGGTAATGAGTGAATTAAGTGAGGAAGATGAGAAGGAAACTCATTGAATTTTGAAAAGCCAATTGAACCAAGAATGAGAAAAAAGTTGCGAGCTGGCCGGAATCGAACCGGCAACCTTTCGTTCTGATCACTATGCGTATTTTTTAAGACGGGAGGGATATTTATCCTCTTCACCCCGTCTTAAAGCATCGAATCGTAAATTTAGAGAGGATTTACGATTAGATTTACGATTCGATGCTTTAAGACGGGTGAAGAGGATAAATATCCCTCCCGTCTTAAAAATACGCATCAGCCAAGTGTGAGAATTAAGCATCAGCCATTCACAGGGCTTTGTGGGGAAAGTGGTTACCCGGTAGTGATCAGAACGAAAGGTTGCCGGTTCGATTCCGGCCAGCTCGCAACTTTTTTCTCATTCTTGGTTCAATTGGCTTTTCAAAATTCAATGAGTTTCCTTCTCATCTTCCTCACATACCTCCAGATATTGTCAATCCGATATTTGGACTTAAGATAGTAGCCAATGGTAATATTTAAATACAACATTTTGTGCATTTTTTTGCTTTAATTTGTTCTTGATGAAGTACACACCTGAAAAAAAACCTACAATGCGACGGCGCGAAGTGCAGCCTTGGAATTTTGTCGAAATTTTGAATTTATCAAGGTCAAGTTAATACAACCCACGTTTCTTGAGGCAGGTTGTGAGATGGTTGGAATTTGTCAAAATATTTAAGGCAAAATTTAAAAAATGGAAGAATTTTACCAGAAAGAAGGAAATATACGGAAGCAGTGTCAAGTCTGCTTGATAAGAATCGCCTATTTTTTAAATTTAGCCTTAAATATTTCGACAAATTCGAACCACCGCACAAACTACCTCAAGAAATGTTAGTCGTACATATGCTATACACACACTCTTAACAAAATCAATACTATTTCAATACCACGCGGTATACATATATGACTCTACCGCTGTAGTATTGATTTAATACTAAATAGTATTGTCGCTGATACCGGAGCAGTAAAAATAGTGGGGTTATTGGTATTCACATTAAACCGTGTCAGTATTATATGGGGTGCGCACTGTGGTATTATTCTTATTCACTGTGGTATTGAATGATGGTGAGCGCTCTATACCACCTAGTATTGCATGCGTTGAGCATATTTATACCACGCAGTATTGTGTAATTACCATGGCAGTAATGAATGCGAAAATATGGTAATGAAACGTTTCTCGTTTAATTATATTTTTTTATTGCACAATTAAACGCTTAACGTAGCAATTACAATTATTTTGAATTAAAACAACATTTATAAACATACATAGATAGGAATAATAAATAAATATGCACCCAAATATTAATTAACATGTTATTTGACAAAATTTACAGCTAAATTCTTAATACTACACCACTTATCTAAATACTACAAGTAATGTCTCGAAATCACGAAATTTCCAGCAACATTGCAATTATGCTTCAACTCCATGGCATCATGAGTAATTAGATTATTTACATTGACTACTTTAAAAATATTCTCCGTCTCCTTAATTTTATAGGCAAACAGATGCCGATCAAAATACTCGGTGTCCAGCACTTTAAGAATTAATAGACAAGTATTTGATTCGTATAAAATAAATTCATAAATTTGGCCAAACTTTGGGAAAACATTTCCCATCTCATAACACACAATAAAGCTACGCTTATAATTATAACCGTTGTACCATATTTGATTTGTACTTAACATTTCATTCTTCCCACACAAGGTCTGAGTACATAAAAATATATTTAGTGATTCAATTATATCAAAAGAGTCGTCATAGTCGGATAAATTAATTTTAAAAATTTCATCTGTTTTTAAACCAAAATGTAATTCAATGTTTTTAGAAACACGAGAACTATACTGCTGGTGTCTCACTGCGAGAGACAGGCAAATATTTCTGAAATTTCTAATATTATGCGCAATCTGGGCAAAATAATTGTGCTTGCCCTCAAACCGCATTGTCCAAAGAGATAATAACGGGCCTGACTGTTTTATGACATATGGATAATGCACCATAAAATGGTGCTTAGGAATTAAGTTATTATTAGGGAAAAGAGTTTTAAAAAGGTTATGATGTTTTGAAATTGCAACTTCTAACTTATTAATTAAAGTCTCTGTAAATATTCTGGAAAATATAATGCTCATGCATTTAAGTAATTGCAAAATTAACTCCCAATATCTTAAATGTTCATCTGTGATAATTAAATCACCTAAAATAATAGGGAGAAATCTAATTAAGCACCAAGTTTGTGCCGCTTTTTGCCCAATTTTATTTCCTTTCCCATCAAGACGTATAGGGTTAGGTTTATTTTTTGATTCTAAGTAGCCAAAGTCAAACGCCAAAATCCTATGATTCACAGTTTCAAGGTCAAAGCACCCCACACAAATTAATTTTTGCAAAACTAATTTAATCTCGTATGGAACCACCCCCTCCAGAAGGTCATGCATTATGTCAACCGTAGGGGTATTTAAAAAGTTAAAATATTTTAAAGTGTTCAATTCGCATGGACTTTGAACCCCAAATGTTTTTGAGTTTAAATGGTCTAAATAATTTTCTGAATTACGAATAGACATTTTTGTGTGATCAAATTGGTTCTGACAATCTGTCTTGGAAATACAGCAAATACGACAAAAATAGTTTGAATTGAATGATTCTGTAAATCCCAATAAGGAATTCCCGCCTAAATTATCAAAAACTACAGAGCAAATTGTTCCTCGAAATATTTCCCGTCCAATTAATATACCCGTTATTTCTAAAATTCTGATATCAGGAAGAATGTGATTTAAAATAGCATTAAATCCATATTTCTTAGCATCCTCGCTGTAAAATAGAGCGAGTAAATGAATTTGTGAAAGTTGAGAATTTAAAAAGTCTGGAAAATTTCGTAAAATGAAATAAATACCACCAAGTTTGTGCACGCCTTTTTTTGACCCCAAAGGATTGACTGTCTCGAAGTCATCATAAAATAATTGCAATTGAATGGCATTCTTATAAATTGAAAATAAATTATTAGATTTAAAAGACTCTGAGTCTGCAAAATTTCTTATAATTTTGTCATCTGAGTTTTGTGTCTTGAAATATTGAAACAATTCAGGAGTTCTAATTATTTTTTCGAGTGTTTTAAGAAGAGGAACATACATAAAAGTATCCTCAACAATTACTTGTTGGCGTTTGTTATTTCTTACATTAACCTCAGTTCTGTTACCTAAACTAATTTCGACAGGAGAGATAATTTTGTCCCGTTTCTCAAAAAGTTTTTGTCGCTGATAACCAGAACGTACTTTTCCGAAACCCGACAAGAGGGTACGTATTTGAGATCCTAACGGATTAAATTCGTTACTAAATGTTTGCGTTCCTAATCTACAAATTACATCAATAATTTCTGTAACTAAATACTCCATATCTTTGACAACAAAATCTACGACGGAATTATTCACACCCTTCGCCATCAAAGACGCACAAAAGTTGCCTAAACTATCAATAATTACTTCAATACAAGTATCAACAGTAATGTTTTCAAAAACCTCTGGGTCTTCCAAATTGGTTGTCTCATTTGAATTTGATTCTAAAATATTATTAAGACTTTGTATGTTCTCCTGTTGTAAACTTATCTCGTGAGATTTACAGTGACGTAGATACCCACTCCAAGTAAATATTTCTACATTGCACCCGTCATAAGGACAAATTGATTTAGTAAAATTTATATGTGTAATATTATGTGTAAACTTAATATGGTCGTGAAACTCACTAACCCCTAAAATTAACTTCTGACACCTTGGACAAATAAACATTATTCCAATCTGCTTTCCGCTAGAATCCCGTGCAGTTGTGATGAGACTTGCTTGATTTTCCTTGAGAGATCTGTTTTGTCGACATCAATTTTATAGATGAATACTTGCAAAAATTTCCAGACTCCCTGCAAATTCTTGTCGTATTCCGCAGAAAAAACGTAGTGTGACTTGAATAAACGATCAATGGCTTCTGTGGAATTTGTCGCGTCAATAGGAAGAAGTATTTTGTCCACTACAAGGGAAAAAGATACCAAATTCTTCTTGTCTTCTCCAAGACAAATTAAATTGGGCTGTCGCTTTTCGTCACTCCAAGTGTCCAAGATTGAATTGAGGGGTGTTCCGCTCTAAAATAGATTTAAATAAATTTAGGTAATTTTCTTAACATATTTGAAATATCGCAATATTAAAACCATTTAATATCACAAAATGTCTATGCACAAAAATACTTTGTAATACGAGACCATCAACATCTGTGCACACGTTGTTTTGCTGCGACTTCCCTTCGCCTTCCCTTGCGCCGCGGGGGGAATTAAATGTAATAATAAAAACAGAGCAGCTAAAGATTGATCCCACTGATCTGTAAAGTCATGCCAAAAATTTATTTAATTTATTCTGATAAGGAAAAAAAAGTTATATTATTTTAACTTATACCCGATTCCTCAGCTAAATATTTGGTTACAGCAGGTGACGAATTAAACTCTTTAGCTTTAATTAGTAGTTTTGATGAAAATACTGGCCATGAATTTGTAAAGTTGTGTTGCGATTCTTCCTTCATCAGTGAGAACTCAAACGAAATCTACAAAAAATAATTTCCAAATTAGTTAATAATTTTCATAACTTTCATTTCCAACGGTTATGTGATATTTTTTACCATAAAATCTCATTCTTTGAATTTTTTGTAGTGGAGAAAAATAGACTGTGGGTTGCTTTGCCTCAGATAATTCCTGTGATGATAAGTGTTAGTAATTAATTCTTTTAATCTTTCTTTTCCTGTTTTTGCGCATGTCCCGTTCAGCAGAAGAATTAAACTCTCATATTGTTGGTCGTCAGCTGGCTCTTCGTTTCTTGCTGTTTTAACGCAGGGGCCACCAGTAGATCTTTTCTTTGTTTTTTTTGCAGAATTCACTTTTTGAGACGTGTGGAGAATTTGATGAATTCGTCTCAATCTGGTCTGAATAAGTCCAGACCGGCTGACTTCGTCAAATAAAATGTCCTGAAATTAATTAAAATAAATTTATTCATATACATGTAATATAACATATTAATTAGCGCATTTATGTATTAATTACACAAAAAAATTACCATACCAAGCCATCTTTTGAGCCAGAATAACGCCAGCAGGGGAGAATTTCAACAATTGCTGCGGCGAATTGTTTTTGCACCGACGTCGCAGGTGAGTCTCTGGAATTGGATAAATTAGTTGCAATAAATATAAAATAAAAATTCAGGTCAAACTGTTTATTATATCCTTACCCCTTTATCTCTATAAGTTTTGACACAAATTCATTAATGAGAATTGTCGAAGATTTATCGTCCACGAAGCCTTTACTCTTGCAATCTTCGACAATACCGTGTATTACATTGTTTTGTTGAACCGTGGTTTGGAGAATCTAAAATAATAGTTAGTAAAGTTGTTATAATAATCTGGCACAATTAACTAAGTATGTACTGTACTTGTTTAAAATTATCCCCTATTCCAAACGATTGAGAAAGCCCAATATTTCCTGCCGCAGGTAAAACTACAGACAAATATTATTGCATATTAGTACGATAACTTTCACTCATTAAAAAAATATCACACTTATTCAATGGAATTTCCTCAACAGTTATAGCTTAAAAACTGAAAATGGTAATATACTAGACTAGAAGTGTTTATTCGAAAAAGACTTACAATAACTTGATTGCGATGTATTATTGTAGCTTAGGTCAATTTCCAATACTGACGACTCTTCTTCTAGCTTGAATATGATATTTTGAATCCCATCTAGGCTGACCAAAATTGGGAAAACATCAGAGTCCACCTCGGCACCGTATTCTTCCACGAAAGTAATATTTTCTGCTTCATCCAACTCAAATTTGCTTCTTACTAATAAATACAAAGAAAAAGTTCGCAAAACTTTAATAAATCCCAATAAATACTGTTTAAAAATAGTGTAAGGATATGTTTGCTTACCTGATGATAGAAATTCTTCAAAATTTCCGTCGGATGAAATTAATTTCTTGCCCCTAATATTATTTGAAACCCGAACTAGTTTAGTAGAACTCATTGTGAAAAAAATTATGGAAAAAAATAAAGGAGAATGAAATGAAGGAGAGTCACTACTGGCTCCCGGGCGAGCGTCGTGTAACGGCCAAACATGAGACAAGAAAATTTGGTATTATATCAATACCAATATTGCAGTCTTTCAATACCATGGGCAGTAAAATCTATACAAATTCTCTCGGTATTGAAAATGTTACGTCTGGTTTTAACTTGTAGTATTGTTTCAATACCGAAATTGTGCTATGAACTTAATACTGCGATGTTGGTATTAAATTCTTTTTAGAATCAATACCCAGTTTCTTACAGTGCATGAACCACAACTACAAAATTTCATCCGAATCAGAGTGCTACACTCAAAACAAAATCGCTAAAAAATCGCTACCGGGCGGTGTCTATATATGACCTCACCGATTTGGTAAGAATTTGCTACCAGATAGTAGGAAAACGCTTTCACTCCGCGTTAGTAGCAATTTGACACAAAATTGTAGCAAACTCACTTCATTTCGTAACGTAGCAATGCAGATGATTTAGTCAGTTCCCTACCGTTTAGTAGCAGATTCTTACTCTCTGGATGCATTATTGCTACCATATTATGTGAAATTGCCACAACTAGGTGACAAATAAAGCATTCACGGTAGCAAATTTTAGTAACGATTTATTTATTTCGTTATTAGTATATTATAATAAAATGATTTAAATACATATTGACTTACATATGACCAATACTTAATAATATTTGGTGAAAATTATCAGCCTTAATTTTTTGTACCTGCCTAAATCCAATTTCAATTGTATTTGTAGTTCGTAAAAGCGCCCGAGATATCTTGAGAATCTACAATTACCAAAAAGTCAACTTACGTCATAAATTTTAAAATACAAAATAAGCTAATAAGTACAACTAAAATTTGCAGTAACTTATAGGAGAAATAATTTTTTCGTTGTCCTCCAAAGTAACCTCGGTTTGTACTTGTCCTTCTCCAGTGACAATGTTCATAAGTATTTGGCGAGATCTATTGGTGAATTAAGGTTGAGAAGTATTTACAAAAATGTTCAAAATTACATAACAAAATATTTAAATTTGTTACAATAGTTGACCTTACCTGAATCCCAGAAATCAAAATAATCCCAACCGATGACAATTAATTAATTTGACACGAATTGAGCTCCATTGGTGCAGCTGTATAAAAATAAACTAACTGCCAACGAGACGAAAAGTCGCGCTATGATTCTTACCACGCTGTGTGAATCTAACACAGTGCGGTAAAAATCTGACAAACTATTTGTGTGGAAATCGCTACGACGCCCAACAACAGAATAGACATAAAATTGTAAAGATTTTATAAAGTTAAATGCTATAATGCGGAGAAGATTTCTTACCAGATTTTGTTAAACTTGCTATAATTAGGTTAGAAACGTATTTATTTTTACGGTGGCAATTCTTAACCGGCCCCGTGTCAATTTTGGAGTCGATTTTAACACAATTACGGTAAGAATAGCCGCTACTACAGCCCGGTAGCAATAAAATTTAAGTTTTTGCTGCCACTTTGCTTAGAGTGTACACTTCAAATTTCCATTTTGGAACTGTTTTGAGGGAAGTGCGTCTAGCGGATGGAACTGACCGAAAAACGTCGTGTGGCTCCGGATGCGAATTCAAAAACATTTTTTTTGAACTTTTAGACAAACTTATGTTGACTAAAAAATCATAATGTATTACTTTAAATCACGTCTGGAAGTTTTTTAAGTCGAATTAAATGTGGACACTTTGCATCATATTTTTCAATAAATATGCTCGAAACAAAACTGTCATGGATGGCAAGAATCGAATTTAACCGAACTTTCAAATGGCCGGTTTTCTGTTCAGTCAAGGGTCACGAAGCGTGATATGACTTCAAATTAAAAGTGATAAGCAAGTTTTCCAAAAAATTCGGGGATTTGTTAGAAAAGAAATGAGCCTTTCTTCACTATACGTACGCGAAAAACTGGATCAAATTAATTTTGGAATCCATGGTATTGGTGATCATCTTCTGCAGAAAATTATTTTTTGGCTGGACGTAACTCGCTGTCAATAAGTCAAAATTCCTAAAAATTGCTAGAAAGTTCAAAATCTTGGATTTTTTGCCGAGAGGAAATTGCCCCAAATTATTCCCGATGTCGTCACATTGAGAAAGTCGGATTTTAAAAGCTAACATCCTAATGAATCAGAAATACCGAATGGATGGACTGGATTCAAGAGAATGTGAAAGCAAGCTAGCTCAATGTCCGTATATTTTCTTAATTTTCGGGAAGAACGTGGGGGTGGCCCCAAAGGGGTTGAGCAACCCATGGTTGAAGGTTATTTGTAGGGTCGGGTCACGGTCACGACTTTATAGCAGTAAAGGTTTAATAAACTTGGTCTGCTGTACTTCCAGATATCCACATTTTTATGCCAGTCCCATCCGCTAGACGAACTTCTTTATTTCATGTATGTATGTACAGCTACATTTTTTTTTGTTCCAGAAATCAAACTACATTCCCACGATAAGACTGGCAACCTGTGTCCGCCCAACTATACCATTTTGATAGACGGGATGAAATTTCAACTTTGGTTAAGCAACTATCCGTACCCCATACTATTTGTCGGTTTCGTAGTTTGTCGAGTTGATCCACTCTACCCCGCGGTAACGAGTCTGATTTCCATGATTTCATCATCCTCCTGGCTGGTTTCCATACTGGTGTTTTTGGCTTCATATTTAATTCGGGCCATCTTAATAGTAATTTTTGTCAATGAGTTAATGAAAGAGGTAAATGCTTACTTCATCTTTGCTTTACTAGTGGTTTGCTCGGCCAGCGAAGTATTGCAAATGTTGAACAGCTTACACTGTAAAAAAGAAATTTGGGGAATTAGAACCTTGGCGATGCGAGAGATCAAATTTTATCGACAATTAATGATATGGATGGGATTCACTAATCAAAATTTTTGCTCTTTTGCTGTCCCGCCGTTGATATTTTTTGGAGTGTCGTTTCTAATCTTGGGAATCTATGGGACAATCCGGATGCAGGGTCAAATGCAAATTTTGCCATATTTGGTTGTGCCAATTACAAGTTTCTTGGCATTTTTATTTGTCGTGCTTTTGATCCCTGAATCAGCCAAGGTGTATGAAAGGTCAAATTTTTACTTGTGTAGGACAAAGCGGGATTTGCGAAGGGGGACATGGGAAGAGAAGGTGGTCAGGTCGTTGAGACCACTGGGGATTCAGATTAGGCCGTTTGGTCTTGTCAGAAATAATTTGATGAAGATTGTGATCAATGTTTTAACCGACAATACATCGAATTTGTTAATAACATTTTGAACATGGTGATACATATTTACAAATAATTTGTTTGATAACGGTTCTGACAGAGCATACAATGATCTTGTTAATCGAGTTTTGAAAAGACGCGTGTATATATTTATGCATCAATTGAAGCAAATATCTCCAAAATATACAGACGTTATACACTTATAAATATTATTGCTACATATATGCTAAAATATCCACATGAAGTTATTTATGACACCAGATGAAATCTTTGTAGACTGTTATGAATGAATGTGTTCATGATTGATGTTCAAGTCACTTCTCGATTAATCATTTGTGCATCTTAAGTCAAAAGGTTTGGTTGAAAATAAAACACATTAACATTTATTGAAGGAAGTATTGATTCCGAGAATGATAAAATGCTTGGCACTTAAATACGTAACTTGTTAATAAAATAAAAACAGTAAAATAATTGATAATTGAACCTTAATTATGAGGATAATTATAATATTTTATATCTTAAATTTAAGTTACTGGAAATACTTCTGGTAAATTTAAATTGGAAATTACGAAATATGTTAGATATTTCGGATTTTTAGGAAATAGGATTGAATTGGAAAACATATCTGATCATGGAAATCTGGAAAACATATCAGTCCACATATCTGATCTGAGGAGGAGAGCTTCACCACCTGCCCTTCACAGATCTTGATGCCCTTTGGCTATGTTGTAGGGTCCTATGAGTGTACTTAAACCCTGAAGTGGTTTGACTCCATGGCCACATTTGCTCCCGCCACACCCACTCAAAGGGATGAAAACCACAAAAGTTGCCAACTTCAAAAATTCCCCAAAAATCCAATTTTGCTCGGACTGTGATAAAATTTGCCTTTTTGTGATCCCAGATACTTGTGTGATAATATCCAATAGCAATCTCAACTTTTTTGAAATTATCGAAATTATCGAGCTGGTGAATTGTTCGAAGAAATTCAAAATTTAAAAAAAGTTGAGATATCTACTGGATATGATCACCATACCCCGGACAAATATTTTTTTATCCTACCCTACTTGTGTTGAGCTCAACATGAGTAGGGTAGGATAAAAAAATATTTTTCCGGGGTATGATGATCACACAAGTATCTGGGATCACAAAAATGTAAATTTTATAAAAATCCGAGCAAAATTGGATTTTTGGTGACATTTAAAGCACCTGAAAACAGGGCTTTTTTCGTGTTTTTGGCGCCTTTGAGTGGGTGTGGCGGGCGCAAATGTGGCCATGGAGTCAAACCACTTCAGGGTTTTAGTACACTCATAGGACCCTACCACATATCCAAATGGCATCGAGATCTGTGAAGGGCAGGTGGTGAAGCTCCCCTCCTGAGTCGAGTGGTAGTTGAGTTCACGTATCGTTAATTTCACCTCCCCCTTAACGAAGATTTCCGCCGTCTTTTTATACTAGTTTTTCTAGAAAAAGTCGGACGTC